ATATCTTTTTTTTCAATTATAATAATGACATAAAAAATCAGGAAACAAGAAATTTTGCCTGCATATTCTACAGGACCTAGGCCACAAGCTATGTATACTTATTATGTGTGTTTTTGCATAATTGGTTCTCCAAAAATTTGCTGTAGTGTACTACTTGATCTAATAAAATATACTCGAATCTACTAAAACAAATAAACAAAGGATAAATTTATTATATCAAAAAATAAATAAAGAAACTTTAAAGTATATAAATAAATGTGATTGATTTTGGACTGAGTGATGTATCTATATACAATATCTAATAATCATAATATCCTTAATGACAATTTAGAATTGGGTAAAAGAGGGGTATTACATTCAATTAGATTTGGAGGCAATTGGTTGGATTTTATAGTAATAGTTAACTAGCCATTGAATCGAGAATACCAGTTAGGTGCATAGGCATTAACTTTAAGTAGGCCTAGCTGGTTCGATTTTTGAGTTACTAAATGGCCATGCACTCCAAATTTTTTTTCTTTGGATTAATAGTAGCAGGGGCAGTAGTTTTATTTTTTTATTTAATTGTTTGTATTTTATTATTATATTTTACACAATTATACTTTAATAAAAATAAACTTCAACTTGGGAAAAAAAAAAAAAAAAAAAAAGATAATGATGAATATAAACAAAAATGATAAATCATCATTAGACTTTGGAACGTCTTAGAAATAAATTATCTATAAAAAAGTAGTTCACGCTAACATGTCTAAATAAATCATAAAAACCTTAAACTTTTGCTTCAAATATAACCCACCAAACCAAATTGATTGAGCTTTACCGAAATATAAAGAAAAATTAAAGTAATATATCAATGCAAAAAAAAACAAGTCATAAATTAAGCACTCTAGGTAAAAAATAGGTTTAAAATTATTGCCTGCTGGTTTCCATACAACACATTCATCAAAAAAAAAGATTTATGTGATCATTGTGACAAAGCATTTGATCCAAACTTTCCAGATGTATTAATTTGCACCCATAGTTATCATTATGATGTTACGGAGATTTGAAAAAAAGTTGTATACATCGTATGGAAACACCAATTGAGCTGGAATAAGAAGAAGAAGATTCAATTAATATGGACGAAGAACATGTAAATACGCTGCTTTCAAATTTAAAAAATCATATATTTATTAAAAAAAAATTTTTTTTTTCTATATAACTTGACACAATTATTAAAGTAATTTCTATAATTTATGATTTTAAAGAAAATACCTTTAATAAATCTTCATGAGTATTGGAGTTATCCCAAAAATTATTCGTGAAAATACAACTCATCTTGTATTATTTAACGGTGGAGGTTCAAAAGATGACATTCAACGAATTATTCGTCAATATATAGAAGAAGATCCACGTAAAGCTTCCAGAGTCATTAATAATTATTTGCGGAATGGGTGAAACCTCGGTAATTAACTGCCATTCTTTCTTTATTATATGTTTAATTACATGATTTTTTTTAAAGGTGTAATAAAAAAATTTTTTTAAAAAGATATATCTTGGAAGGTAAAATTACTAAGTAAAATAAGACGCATATAGTAAACTTTGTAAATATTAAAGTTATCCTGATGCATTGGTACTCCACTTTCTCTATTTTATAACTAATTATAAAGTTTATTTAACAATTATTATATGTCAATTGAAAAAAATATGAATTCATTTTAAATTATTAAACTACACAATATAATTTCAGGATCCGTCCTCGCTACTACGCTAATGATCTATGAACGAATGAAGTAACATTATTAAATTAATTTAGAAATTCTTCATTGATTGCATAACTTATGTGGAATTATTTTTAAAAAATTCCCAAACATAGTATAAAAAACCTGTTCGAGATCGAGAGCTATTTATATATACAAAAAACAATAATAATAAACAATAAAAGAATTTTTCATATTTTTTCAATTACGCATGCAATATATCTTTTTTTTTTCATATAAAAAAGAACGTTTTTGTTTTTTATAACGAAAAAACTTAAATTTATAACCAATATATAACAAAAAACTAAATTTATAATCAATATAAAAAAAAAACCAAAAATGTATCAAAATTATTCTGACAATATTAATAATAATAATATTGATTCTAACAATAATATTAGTATTAATATGAATGATGTTAATATTAATAATCAAGAATTTGTTCCTAATAATTACAGCAATCAAACCGCCGACCATTACTCCAATAATTATTACATTCATCAAAGCCCTGAAGAGAATAATTTCGGTTACCAAAACAGTCAGAACTTGGTCGAAAATAATTACATTGATCAAAACTCTGGTGATAGTAATTTGATTCATCAAATTAATTTCACCAACCAAAATTCGTGTATTGTTGGCAATAGTTTTGTTAATCAAAGCTTCACTGGAATGGTTGGCGGTTCTGGCGGTGATAACACTGTCCAGAATCCATCTATTACTACAAGCATTAATTATCTGAACAATTGTTTTAACAATAGTTTTATTGGTCAAAATTCTCATCAAAATTCTATTATCGCGAATAATTTCATTGATCAAAACAATTATCAACTGCTACTACTTATTCAAATAGCATCGCAACTTCAAGATATCCAAAATTTTCTATCTAACAACTATAACAGACATTAAACATTAATACTAATACAATGGTTCATTATTCGTAATAAATACTGAAATAGCACTAATAGTAATAACAATGTAACATCAATTATTTCAATTTTATTTTTTTCAATTTTTTCTAATTAAGCTTCTTTTATATTTTATATTTTGTTTGGGGCATATTATCAATAATAAACAAATTTTTATAAGCTCAGTCAAGAAGAATATATAATCTAACATTATATGATAATTCAATTTAATAATTAAGATAATTTAGAATTATTTAATACAATTATAAATCTTTAAAACAATGCAGCATTTTTTGGATTATATTTTGTGTCTGAAGTTCACTCGTGTATTTGTTGTACTAAATCAAAAGATATAAATTTTTTGATAACCATCCATTTGAAAAAATTTTTCAATTCCTAATTTTTCAGCAAATACTTTTGCTTTTTAACCACTTTATCTGTAATAATAAGACCTTGAGCACTAACTCTACTAATCCAGAAATTCATAGTATTTTCTAAATCTGGAAATTTCACTGGCTTTTGATGAAAAATGCTATTACTACGATGAATTAAATTTGGAATATTTATCCTCTTTTTTACCATTGTGCATGCAAATGAAATTGTATTTTCTACGATGATAAAATAAATAATTATAAACTAAATATTTATGTTGGGTGCAAAATTACAAAAAAAATTTTATTTACCAGAACTACAAGCTGGGCCCAATGTTGTGGCTAATATGACTTGTAGCAAACAACCTTATTATTTTCTTCAACTAGGTATTTTGTTCATGTTCTGGCAAAATTATGTAACCACTTAGCTAAGGATGAAGATGCACAATCTACTATTTAGATATTTTACAGTGTGAATATGCTGCTTATTTCTTTATAATCAAATGGATGCTAAAAGGTTTTGAAAGCTAACATAAAGAGGTGCAAGAGATACCTCAACAGAAATTGCAATGTAATTTTTCAAGTACTCATCGCCTCTCTTCAAATCAGAAGGAGAACAGAGATGATGACATTGCAGTTACCAATAAAAACAATTGGGTGGCAATTATTGACATATATAATAATTAGAACATTTAAAGCAGGAGTCAGAACATGAAAATTATGAGTATTTTTGGCGTTTCTCATCTCTCACCTTTTAATGATAACTGGAAAAAGATCAAATGAAGGAATGGAAAAACGATACTGAAATTAAAATGGATTGTACATATTTATTGATCCACATAATGATGAATCAGACACTTATGTCGCAAGCAAAATTTACTAACAATGAGTAAACTGCTCTGGATATGCCATAAATTCAAGCCATCCTGGGAACCCTAATATCTGTTGATGTTAACATTGTTGATTAGCACTTTATACTTTTGCAGTAACAGCGGGAAGCATAGTATAATTATTTAGTTATATGATGGTCATTTTAAAATAATAACATAATATATTTTTTCCAAGTGTGTAAATCTCCATTTTGTATATGCTCAAATACCAATATGTAACCATTTTCATTTGGATCCTTTGTGATTCCAAACATTTGTTAACAGAAAAATAAAGTTTATCCAACTAAAAAGTCGTAAAATAATATTTATGAAAAATAATATCTTTCAAATTTTATCTCATTGCGAATATCTAAGATATAATTTATAGAATTTTTCGGCACAACCTTTTTTAGTAGTATCTAGAACTATATATCAGGACAAGTTAGTTTACAAGGGAATCTTGAAGGCAATGAATATTGTAAACAATAAGGGGGAAGTTGAATTAGAACAAGCAAATATTCAAATTATGTACGGAATTTAAGAATTTTGTACAATTTTGGCCCAAAAAACCCTTCCAATCTGAGGCAAATAAAATTGATATCGCGAAAAAATTAGCTATGAAACAATATTAGGAAATAAAAGGCAATATTGGGAAATGAAGAGGTATCATTGATATCGGAATTGGTACGGAATTTTGCTCAAATGGAGGTAGCTATATATAAAGTATAGCAAATGCTAGCCTCAGCAAAATTACTCGTCAAAGAATTGATATAAGGACTAACCTTCCCCTTGTGGCTCTGTGTAGATTAAACGTAGCGTGCAAGTATTGTATTTTCCCTAATCATTTATTCATTGGTGATTAAAAGTCAAAACTAGTTTCGACTTTCGCACATTTGCGAAAATATAGTTCTGGAAACCAACCTACATGAGACGCCTGTTTAAATTTAATAACTGGATAAATAGAATAATTATGAATTTCTCGTGATAAATAAGGTCTGTGTAGTATTCATTTTTTTTTATAATATTAGAAATTGGATTACTGCAAAATATTTGTTTATTAGAATTTAATATACATATTTTTTTTTTGGCAGTAATAAACTATAAATTAAGCTTTATTTCTCAATCTATTGGTTCAAATAATACCTTAGGGGCGTGAAAATCCTCCCATGTAAATTTATCTTGTTGATAATAATCATCTTCGTCATTGATAATAACAATCTTGATTTGCAGAATTTCGTCTGTCGATAAATTCATTAAAGTGCCTAGTGTATATAGTGACCTTGTATCTTTCGTAATCTGATGAACTTCTATCCAAATCGCTAATGACTAAGGCGAGTAAACTCCGATGTATGCCAGGAAAATTATTTTCATCAGTTTGAAGATAAGACCTTGCATAATTGTATTTTTCATAATGCAGATAATAGTTGTAAGCGTGCAATGTTTTTTCTTCTATTAATGGATATATTTTTTGTCTTAACCATCGGCCCAGATCCCTTCCTAAATGATTGCTGATGTTATTATTATCATTATTAACTTGATTGATTTGAAGCATTTTTAATACTTATAATTAAAAAATTTTTTTCGTTAAGTATTTATCATTAAGATTATCATTAAGATTCGCATATTTGGAAAGTTCAATTACATAAATTTCTTCGCATCGAATCAGAATAGAATTCTGTACAATTTTCTCAACCAAATTGAGCATTAGCAATACATGATTCTTTTGTTCTGTGAATTGAAACTGTTTATGACTAAAAATTATTTGGATATATTCGAATGTTCGGCTACACACATGAATATTCTTAATGAATATTCGGTACCATATACCAAACCAGAAATTAAAATGGACATTATTAATAATTAATGGATGTTTAAATCTGAAACGAATAAAACGAGTAACTCGAATAAAACGAATAAAACAGCGAATAATTTGAATAAAACACTTCGAATAATAATTTGAATAAAACACTTTGAATAATAATTTGTATTACGAATAGAAACTCTCTACTCTTATAAACAACCCGAAACATTAATATAAAATTTAATTAAACAATTGTTTGTTTGTTCTTTCACTTGTCAAAAGGCGACGTTAATCTTTCTTTTAAAACTAATTTATATAAATAAACAATATAAATAAAAATTCAAAGATAAAAATATTATTATAATAATAATAAACGAGAGGCAGGTCGCATGTCCGAATTTGCATTCCTAATTTGGTATGTGATATCAAGAGTTTGTATTAGCAACTGGTTTTTTTTTTGTGTCTTTTACTCGATATATAATTAATAATACTAATACAAGGATTTATATGGCGAAACAATTGGGCTAGTTTGCATACTAGAAAAATGGATACAAGGCTTCTTTACATTAAAAACATGTGGAACTAAATTTATATAATCAAAAACCCACCGAATATTTGGTTGAGTACATCAAGTACATTATAGGTCCCAAACACCCAACCCCAAAAAGGTAAATATCATTACCAAAAAACCACATTTAATCAATCAATCAAATTTGTTTAGATAAATTAATTATTCAATGATAAACAAAAACTTTAATCCTGTTATACAAGATTTTCACGCATTGGTGTGAAATTATATTGTGTAACTTAACATCTGACTGATTACATTAATTATAATATAAGATCGGGTAGTTATACGAGTTAAAAAACCTGTTTGTGATGAACTTGCAAACCTTACTAATTACTATTGCGCGTCATTTTTCTTAAATATAAAAATACACATTTATTCACGGAAATGAAAATTTTGTTTTTTAAAAAAAAAATAATAATAATTAATAAAATAAGCTCAATAAATAAATTCATAACCAATATATAACAAAAAACTAAATTCATAATAAAAAACCAAAAATGTATCAAAATTATTCTGAAAATAATAATAATAATATCGGTTCTAACGATAATGTTAATGTTAATAATCAAGACTTTGTTCCTAATAATTACAACAATTACAACAATCAAGCCGCTGGATACCACTACAATAATTCTTACATTCATCAAAACTATGGAGACAATAATTATATTCATCAAAACCCCGGAGACAATATTTACATTCAACAAAACCATGAAGAGAATAATTTCAGTCACCAAAACAACCAGAACTTTGTCGAAAATAATTACATTGATCAAAACTCTGGAGACGGTAATTTAATTCATCAAATTAATTTCACTAACCAAAACTCGTGTATTGTCGATAATAGCTTCGTTAATCAAAGCTTCACTGGAGTGGTTGGCAGTGATAACACTGGCCAGAATCAATCTATTACTACAAACATTAATTATCTGAACAATTGTTTTGACAATAGTTTTATTGGTCAAAATGTTCATCAAAACAATGATCAACTGTCACTACTTATTTACATAGTATCTCAACTTCAAAATATCCAAAATTTTCTATATAACAATAACAATAACAGATATTAAACGTTGTTGTTAATGCAATGGTTCATTATTCGTAATAAATAGTAGTATAACATCAATTTTTTCAATTTTATTTTTTTCAATTTTTTTATTTTTATTATATTTTATATTTTGTTTGTAAGTACGGTTGAGATATAGTCAATAAATAAACAAAATTTTTTATGAATTCAGTCGAAAAGATTATATAATCTAATGTTATATGATAATTAAATTTATTCAAAGTTATTTAATACAATTATAAATCATTAAAATAACGCAGCGTTATTTAAATTATACTTTGTATATGAAGTTCACTCATGTATTTGTTGCACCGATACGATATAAATTTATAGAGAATTATTCAACCAATAATTCAAATGATTTGTTTTAATAATTGCTAAAAATTTATTTATTCGTCAATTTACTATATTTTCACTTATAACAACTATTCATGTTAATTTGTTATTAATCTGATGATGAGATATTTAAAATTTGAGAACTCTTTGTAGTAAATCCTTAACATAAGCCAATTAATTTTGTTCGATGCTTGTCATAAATAGTAAGTTTTTCAAACAAAAAATAGACTTTGTTGGTAGTTCATTTTTGCTAAATCTTTTTGATTTTTTTATTAAAAAAAATTTAAATAAAAAAATGAATGACCCTTTAGTAAATAAATATATTAATAAATAGGGATTAGAACCGGATCGGGTGCATCTGGGTCATCTGGGTATCCACAGGCGGAAGAAATTAGTCTCTCCATAATATTTGTGGGTTTATAAAGTCAACATTTTCTAAACTCCTGAACATTCTGGACAACGTCATATTGATGGTTATTTTTGTTCAGTTGATTAGAAGAATCACGCATAAAACAATCAATAAAGCTTTAGTTATGATGTTTATTATGTGTGCATTACCTTTCCGCCTTGTATAAAATCCGTTTTTAAAAGCATTAAATCTTGGATATCAACCACCTTCAAGAAAAAGTGATATAGATGAAAATGGAGATATGGTTAACATGCAGATTTACAGCAATTAGATTATGAATAGATAAATGAATTCAAATTTTTTGTGTTTGTTTTGTTTAATAATTACATTTTAATAAATATTAAATGTTTATAATAATAATAATGTTTTTAAAAATGGGAGAATATGAATAGAAAATTGGTCAAACTGCATCGTGATTATGTTGCAACACTATGTATAATATGTAAAGTTACGGGTATGTTGGAACATTTGATATTTGATTACGGAGGACAAGCTTAAGTCCGATCCACTCATTGCCACCAATTATTTCGCTAATAATAATAATGGTTATGATAATAATAACAATAACAATAATAACGGTAATATAATTGGAAATTTATTCATAAATATCAATAAATACGGATTAATCAATCAATATATTTCAAAATTTACTTTATTACTCCTAGCATCATTAACAAAAATTTTACTTTATTACCAATTCATGTGTTCTCAGGATTATGAAATTATTATAAAACCTACCAAATGACGAGCTGCAAAATATCAACAAGATAGTTCTTTTCGATAAACTGGAAGAACGTCAAGAAACCAGCAATAAAGAAACGAAGACGGATAATCGGACAAAACTTGGAACCAGAAGAAAGGGAAAGATTTGAAAATTCACAATCAATGTTAGTATCATCTGGCAATCAAAGAAATGGGTATTAAAAGGAATTCAAAAGGTATCGACCAACAGTTCATCTTTTACTGAGAGGAAAGAGAAACGGACAAGAGAAAAGCAAGGAAGGGTCAACTCTGGCCAAGAGAATCGAAAGAATTAAAAAAAAAAAATTTACAATAAAAAGAAATGATGAAAATTGCGAACAATATAACAATATAACAACAATGTAAAAACTTAGCAAATTTCCTATAGAAAATTTTACTTTAAACCGAAAGAAAATTAACAAAAGAAGTTCCGACTAAAAGAAACAAGTACATAAAAATGTTAGTTAATAAAATGAAAAACAAAGAAAATAACAACAAAATAATAATAAAATAATCCCGAGAATATTTCAACATAATAATATCCCAATATAAAGGGCTAAATATTATTATTATTATTATTGTAATTATTATTATTATTATTTAACAATGTAATCTTGTAGCATTCTATTAATAAATTGTACTTGCTAGAAAGTTCTGTATTTTTTAATATATACATGTATGTATACATATGTATATGGTTACAGTCAGAACTAACTTGTTAAGACTATGCTTTTCATAAAATGAATATACATGATTTTTACCTATTAAATTTATCTCTATAAACCGATTTTATTATGGTTTTTTAAGCTGATGTTTTTTTTTGTGAAAACATTGACTTTGGTTTAAAAAGTTAGAAAAGAACAGGGGAGTATAGGACAGGTTAGGATTAGTACCATTTCCCCCTTCTTCGATGTTAAGGGTGTGTAGATTTTTAATTGATCTTATTCCCTGTAGCTCAAATAGTAGGGTTAAATATTTGTCAATCTCAAATGAGAGAGATATGCGTTTGGATGAGAAATAAAAACAAAGAAAGAGATGTTGCTTATATCGCAGGACATTGCGGATCTACAGGGGGTCAAGTGTCACTCACTAATAAAAAATTTTTGATCAACACGGAATTTTAT